AGACCTCATAGCAGCCTTCCAGTATCTCAAGTGGGCCTACAGGGGAGCCAGGAAGGGACTCTTTGTCGGGAACTGCAGTGATAGGACAAGGGGCAATGGATCCAAATTGAATGAGGGGAAGTTTAGGCTGGATATTAAAAAAAAATTTTTTTGTGAGGGTGATGAGACACTGAAACAGGTTGCCCAGAGATGTAGTGGCTACCCCATCCCTGACAGTGTTCATAGCCTGGTGGGATGAGGCCTTGAGCATCCTGATCTAGTGGGGTGGTGTCCCTGCCCATGGCAGGGGGTTGGGACTACATGATCTGTAAGGTCCATTCCTACCCTTAAATTCTATGATTCTATGAAAGAGTTGAATCTTGAGGTAAGCTTCAATTTCTATGAAGCCAGTGTTCTCTTATGCTCTCTTACTCTTCAGAAGAGCTTGAATGCTCTTCTGCTTGGTTTCTAGAAAACACAGTATAGCTAAGAAGGGTGTTAAAATCAGGTAAAACACTATGACACAAGGCTCAGCAGTTCCTTGTGGTGTTAAAATCTATGACTACATGGAAGTCATAGGACAGAGCACATGAAGAGGAGATGAGCTCATGGAGACATGAGAATGAGGTGTTCAGAGTCAGGATCTTCCTCTTTCTGGCTACAAAATACACATGGTGAGCAATAATATGTGGTAGAGAGAATAAACAGGGATCAGTAATAATTGTAACAAACTGTCCTTTTTTTTTCCCCTGAATTTTATCAAAGAGTCAGAACATCAACATGGAAAACAGTGTTGATGTCAAAATAGACACCCAGGGGGAAAGAAAGCCAGTGAAGCAGAATTCACTGAGCAAAGCTGGGAAGAAAGTCTGCAGAGCTGTTGGTTACATCAGTGGAGACATGAAGGAATTTGGAGACTGGCTAAAAGGTAAAGCTACTTCATCATGACTAATTAGGGAATTCCAAAGAAAAAGTATATCAAAAGAGTAATAGCTAATTTCTCAGCAATATGATTTAAGTCAGAGTAGTACAGAAACTACCTCTGCTCTGATTCATGTCCATTTCATAGGAGAAAAAGATCCACTTTCTGCAGAGATCCACATTCTGCTTAAATCTTGAGAGTGTCTGAGATGATATTACCTCCCAACTTGTCATATACAGTGTGAATCTAGTCCCACAGAACATGGCCCTGGATCATTATTCTGTGCTCTGACATTATTCATGACGTTACATGTCCTTTCAGCTGAGCAGTTTCTGCAAGTTTAATGCCTCTGTGAAGTTAAATTACACATAGGTAGGTGTGTTTTGTCCCCACAATAAATCACCAGTGGGATACACACATAATTTGCCATATGAACCACAGACATCATAAATTATATGGTTCCTATGAATCTGATCCAGGGTACTTTATAACATGGGGTTCTGGCAACCTCACTGTTCATCTCAGTTTTGCAGCTGTAAGATTCACTATAGATCCTAATACATTCCAGTCAGGTTTTAGAGTCTTGTTGATTCATTGCTTCAGTCACGGTGCCAAGCCCCATCGCCAAACTTTCCTGAGTTTCAAAAATACATCCCAGATCTGAACCATCTGTGTACTTTAGGGGGCCTGATTTATTATTTAATTTGATCTCATCCAGATAAACCTCTCATGATCCAATTTATTGACTGGGTGCTGCGTGGGATATCCCAGGTGATGTTTGTCAACAATCCTCTCAGTGGTCTGATAGTACTTGCTGGCTTCCTGGTACAGAACCCATGGTGGACACTCACAGGATGTTTGGGAACAGCTGTCTCAACTTTAACAGCACTCATTCTGGGCCAGGACAGGTAAGACCATCCTTTTCCCCTTCAAAGCCAGGTGTCCACTTCAGTGCTGATGTTGCATGTTAAACATGCAACATGGATGAGAAGCCTGGACCTAGTGGAAGGTGTCCCTGCCCATGGCGGAGGGTTGGAACTAGATGATTTTCAAGGTGCCTGGCAACGCAAATCTTCTATGATTCTATGATCTAGCCTTCACTGGTAGGACCAGACCTTCCCACCAGTTGCACCTCATGCAAAGTGGCACTGGACTACCTGCTGTGTAGTAGTTGCTGTAGTTGAGGTAGTTACTGAGGTGATATAGGACTCAATCATGCAAAATTGAACATTGGTGGATGAATCCTGGCAGGTCATCATCACACAGAGTCACAACTGCATGGGGAGGGAGAGGGTGATGCAAGCAAAGCATTGTCAGGTGAGATTTAAAGATGATTGTTACCTTCACACAGATCAGCCATAGCATCAGGCCTACACGGCTACAACGGGGTCTTGGTGGGATTGCTCATGGCCATCTTCTCTGCTAAGGGAGACTACCACTGGTGGCTTCTACTGCCAATAGCACTGGTGTCTATGACCTGGTAAGTCAGATGGTTCCTCTGCTTCTTCCAGCCCCACAGTCCCCACACTGAGACTGAGATGTTGTATTTCCATGCAGAGTGCAATGGAAAAGAAACACAACTAACACACACGTACTGCTAAATTTGTATAATTATTTGCATTTTAAACACAAATGTAATCCAGAAACAAACAAAAATACCCATATAACCACAAATAAGGCCAATGAGGAAAAGGAAAATCAATGGCTGATCATGCCTAATTTCTTACTCTAAATCTGAGTCATATTGCTGTTATGATTCAATCCATTTTTATTTCAAAAGGAACATTATTTTCACTATTCCCTACCATCTAATGATGGTGACAAGAGTTTCATTTATTTAAGCCACCATATAAAAATGTTGTGAAAATCTACTTCCCCAGATACAGAAGCTAATCAGTGGCCCCAAGACATGGTGGTTCACGTTAATCAAAACAAACAACTAATAATACTTTACTTATACATATATGACAGCATAATCTGCTAGGCGTTTGGACAGCAAAAAGTTTGAAAGCTGTTTTCTGTTCCCAAAACACTCAGTTTGAGGTTGCCAAAAACCACACATATCATTTGTCTGCCTGAAGTTCATGTAGCATTATACTTACTGTGATGTCAGCTTTTACTTCTGATCCACAAGCTTGAACAAGGTCATATATATTACACAACATGACAGGAATCTGTAGATTGATAACTACCTTGGAAAGGGTAGGAAATTTATGGAGTGATCTTGTCATATCTCTGATTTGATCAGAAAGACAGAGGAGATTAAACAGCCTGTTTTGTTTGGTCTCTTCATTTAAAACAAACAAACAAACAAAACCACACCAAAAAAAAACCCTGAATTTGCTGTAGTTGGGGGGGGGTAGATTTGGGGGTTTTTTTGCCTAGATTACAAACTTACAGTGAGACCATTTTGGTTTTCTTTCAGCCCTATTTTCACCAGTTCTTTAGGTTTAGTCTTCTGTAAGTGGGATCTGCCTGTTCTCACCTTGCCTTTCAACTTGGCCTTGACCCTCTATCTGGCTGCATCAGGACCACATAACGTCTTCTTCCCTACAACTGTCATTCAGCCTGCAACCACAACACCAAACATCACCTGGGTGGATGCTGAAATCCCAATGGTAGGATGTCTTAACGGTAACAGCTTTCTTCATTTACAAAGAAAAACATTAGAGAAACATATTTTCTTCCTTTATAAAATCACAGAATGATTTGGCTTGGGAGGGACCTTAAAGATCATTTTCTTCCAACCCCACTACCATGGGCAGGGACACCTTCCACTAGACCAGTGTGCTTAAAGCCTCATCCAGCCTGGCCTTGAACACTTCCAGGAATGATGCAGTCACAGCTTCTCTGGGCAACCTGTGTCAGTGCCTCACCACCCTCATAGCCAAGAATTTCCTTCCTAATATGTGATCTACCCCTGCCCTCTGCCAGTGTAAGGGCCATCCCCCTTGTCCTGTCACTATCTGACCTTGTCCAAAGTCCCTCTCCAGCTCTTTTGGAGCACCTTCCAAAACCTGAAGGGTCTCTAAGGTCAAAATGGAGCCTTCTCTTCTCCAGGCTGAATACCCCCAGCTCTCTCAGCCTGTCTCCACAGCAGAGGTGCTCCAGCCCTTGGACCATTTTCATGGCTTCCTCTGGGCTTGCTCCATAAGGCCCATATCCTTTGTTACTGCATTAGGACCTGGCAATACAAAGTTGCATTTATAAGCTACCTATTCTCCAAAATTTAAAGGTTTATTCTAGGCGTTAACATTTTTGATAGCTTGAAAATGAGAATCTTTTGGTGTCCTTCACTTGCAGTTGGATCCAAATGTACATATTTTAATCTTCAGAAAGTCTCTAGAATCTTATTACCTATTTCTGTGCATATGCAGATCATTTCCCCATAGCTAAGGTTGTGCTGAGTCTTCCAGTTAACTCTCAGGGTAATTTTAGTTTCTCACATACAGAGTGTTTAAAAAATTCATCTCTCTGATTAGACATGAGCAAGCATTATGGTAGAATGGTTACAAACTTGGACACAGGCACACATTCACACATTTTTAATTTATATTCAAGTGAGACCTTTACAAAGGAACATTTTATTCTGCTGCATAACACTGTAAGCATTACAGATACTAGAGTAATTGCTTTCTCCCAAGGCTCAGCAGACTATTTTGAGGGGTTCCCAGAGAATGACAAAGGAAGTTAACTCACACTAGATATCAACCCACAGGTGACATTTCTCAAAGTATATTTACCTTGGTTCATGATTTTATGTGGACCATAAATGGAAAAGTAACTCAAAACCATGTCTAAACTCTGACCAAGCTGGGCTCTGTCCCACCAATCCAGCAACTTCCGTTCACATTCCTGGTGAATCCCGAGGCAGTTTCAGGTATATAAGTAGGTCGGAGGTATAGTCTTACCTGAGTAAAGTCTTGTAATTCTGACAATTCCATAATTAGCCATTTCACCCTTGGATCTGCCCACTCAGAGAGAAATGTCTTCTCATAGACATCATCTACCTGAGCACTTCCATTCTCTAGACTCGCTGTCATGGTCCATATGGGTATGTAAAAATGTCAGCAACATATATAAAGATGATTAACAAAGCCTTTCACAAAAGACATTTGTTATTAAAGCCAAAACACAGCAGAGGAGTTCATGACTAGGTAACAAGTCATTACTCATTTTCATTGAAGGGGAAACCCTGTGGAAATATCCTGCTGTCTCCCAAGTGTCCAAATGTTCCACTTAGAAAGACAGACTGCATCTGACAAATGCCAAACATAAACATGGCCAAGAAAAAAGGTTTGTTTTTAAAAAAAATAATACTATTTTAAATTACAAAGCTGGTAACAATTTTTCTTTTTTGGGCTGTTTTTTTTTTTTATTATTCCTACAGCTCCTGCAATCCATTCCAGTTGGTGTGGGTCAGGCTTATGGCTGTGACAATCCCTGGACTGGGGGAATTTTCCTGATTGCTTTATTTATCTCTTCTCCACTCATTTGTCTGCACGCGACAATTGGCTCAGCAGTGGGGATGCTGGCAGGTAAGAATTTGACTTGTGTCACAGATTTATATAAAAAAATGGAGAACAAAAGCAGAACTAACCTTGAGTTAGGAGCAGATTAATAACATTCACAGACATCAGTCTGTATGTGCAGGCCTCAGCGATGCATTTAAGGTTTGCATGTAGCCTCATTCTTTCATGTATCTTCTGCTGAAATCACATCACCAAATTCAGTGCAGCAGCACCAGGGAAATTCTGCCACAGTTTTTTTAGATTAAAGTGGCTTTGGCCTTAGACCCTAGCAACATGAATACAAATAGGAATTCCATGTACATATGCTGGATAGAGCCCTTCAAAAGCTGGATTCATGCTGTTTCTCCACTGCTTTTGTCTCTTTGGCCAAGGAGTGAAACATGTTTTATTTATTTTCTAGGGCTGAGCTTAGCAACACCTTTTAGCAAAATCTACTCTGGATTGTGGGGCTACAACAGCTCCCTCTCCTGTGCTGCAATTGGAGGCATGTTCTACGCTCTCACCTGGCAGACACATTTGCTGGCGATTGTCTGCGGTACGTACCCAGTGGATATTCACCTTGGCCACATTTCCTTTTGAAGTGAGACAAGCTGCATTTATAGTAGAGGTGGGCTGAAGCCAGATGGGCACCTCTAGGCAGGCAGATGGACTCGGGTGAGACTGACAAATGATAGAGCTGGGTATTGGAGCCATGGTTTTAATGTACCTTGATAAAATAAAAGCTGTGCTTTCATTTTCAGCCAAGAGTTCTGTTTAAAACAAGAGATGCGATAAGAGGATGCTGATTAACTAAGGTCTTTGAAATTAGATGCTTCGTTTTAAGGCATTAATTGTGTTTGTTCATTCAATGCTGGATGAATCATACTGGGTTTTCCTATCTCAGATACCAACTCAAATTCCTTCTTTGGAGAGGGACATACCTAAACTCTGAGAAAAGTGGAGCTCAAGATTACTCTGCAGCTGTAGTTAGACAGTGCACATGCCCCATTCTATTGAAATGGGTACCAAAGGCAGGAACTAGGCACACAGCATGATTGAAGAATTATTTATAAGGCAATTATGTATGAAATTTCAGTATCAGAGTGAGCTGGGAGTGAAACTATTGCTCATTCAGTGCTCATATAAAAAAAGATTTAACTTTCTATTTCATTGACCTTCAAGCCCTACAGGCAGAACAGATGAGGGTGGAAGGGTTATTTACCTATTTCACCCCATCCATCAAGCTACATACTTTCCATGTCAGTGCATTTTTTAAAAGCCTCTGATTCCACAGCACATTTTTCATCACTACAGTTCTTCTCTATTTTTTTCTTTTTTTCTTTTTTTTTTCTTTTTTTTTTGTTTTACCCTTTCTAGAATGTCTAGGTTGGATGAGACAGTGCTAAGGAAAGAGCTTTAAAGTGTCAAGAGGGTACTGTTCAGGCTGGGTCATAATAATTGGTAGAGCTATCCAAGGCAGATTGAGAGATGTATGTCCTTATTGTTCCTCTCTGTGAGCAACTGAACTCACCAGGAACTACCTTTCTTTTTCACAGCCCTCTTCAGTGCCTATCTGGGAGCAGCAGTGGCCAACATGTTGTCTGTGGTAAGTAGTGTATCAGCTAAGGTCTGGTTTCCAACAACAGATTCGAACACTATATATTTTCCTGGTTTGTTAGGCAAAACACCAAGACGTGGAGAACAATTCAGCCAAAGGCAGAAATGGTACAGGAGAGGGGTTACTATCTGCATGGGGCCTTGGTGTGATTCCCACTGAAATAGGCCATTTAAAATCACCACTTGCCACTTTTCATCCTTGGAGTTTGCATGAACCTCCACAGCTCAGCTCTTGACACTTATGAGACCACAGAATCACAGAATGATTTGTGTTGGAAGGGGCCTTCAAGATCATCTCATTTCAACATCTTTCCACGGGCAAGGACAACTTCCATTAGACCAGGTTGCTCCAATCCTTGTCCAGCCTGCCAGTGAACACTTCCAGGGGTAGGGCAGCCACAGCTTCTCTGGGCAACCTGTGCCAGTGCATCATCACCCTTATAGTCGAGAGTTGCTTCCTAATGTCTAATCTAACCCTGTCCTCTGTCAGTGTGAAGCCATTCCCCCTTGTCCTGTCACTACATGATGTTGTCAAAAGTCTCTCTCCAGCATTCTTGGAGCCCTTTTAGGTATTGGCAGGCTGTTATGAGGTCTCCCTCTTTCAGCTCATCACATATCTATACTTTGTGCCTGAAGCAATTGAGAAAAGGGCCCTCCACATGTGTACAGAAACACCAAATTTGGTTTAATTGCTTTTCTCAGCTGCCAAAAACAGTCAGTACAATGGCCCAGGGAAAAGCTGAATGTTTACAGTATCCACTCCTGTCTCATCTCTGCCCACTCCCACCTCATCTCCACCCAAGACCATGGCAGATGCACAAAGAGAAGGCAGCCCTCTCACCAGAGCTCATAGATGTTGCAGGCTAATACACAATGTCAAGATCTAGCAAAGAAATCCTGCCTCCCTATGGAAAGACTCAATGCAAAATCAAGTCTAGGTTTCCATAAGAAACCTTGGTCCAAGCTGCCTGGCTCGGTCTGTTTTCAAATAAGAGGAAGACACACAGTAAATAAGTGATTTCTTATTTTTCTTTGCAGTTTGGGATGCCATCAGGAACCTGGTCTTTTTGCTTCTCTGCACTGACCTTCCTGCTAATAACCACAAACAACTCTGCCATCTACAAGATGCCACTTTCCAAAGTCACCTACCCAGAAGCCAACCGAGCTTATTTTCTAAAGACAAAGAAACATCAGAGGTCTTGCTGTGAAGTATAAAGACCCAAGAAGAGAGACTCTTGGTAGATATTAAGGCAAGAGTACAAAGTATTTCCCCAAGAAACTGTGATTTGAGTGCTACAAAATCAAACAATACCTTCTGAGTCGAGATACTTTTCCCACCACATCTGTTTGTTCTATTAGAACAAAATTTCTATCAGAAAGGACTGTGTTGTGTTGGAAGGACTTTTCCCAAGACCAGTCTTTAATGATTTTAAAGCACATATGTCTGAAAAGACACTTGAACTATAAGCAGTGGGGAAATTACTTAGAAGTTGAAAAGAAAAATCTTTTTGTGACATTGAAGGCAAAGCAATCAGGCATAAAGCAATAAAGAGCATCTTTTGGTATCTAAAGGGGCTTCTAATTAATGGCTAAAATCAGCTTAGGACAGCCATAGAATATATTTTAGAGAGTTTCACAGTAGCTGATAAGTGGAATAAAGAGTACCCTTTGCCAAGTAGAATATAGGTGGTGAAGAATACTACTTGGAGGATCTCTCGAGCCCAATGAAGAGAGATTTGCATTAGTAACCATCAAACATAAGATGGATGTGATTTTTCTTAATACTTGAACTTGGTCGTGGGTTGGCAAATAAGAGGACAGCAAAAATAGTCATTGCTGTCCCCTTCCTACGCAATAAAATGGATCTGTTCAGTCTAAATATAAGTAGAATTAATTTGAGCTGATCTTGACCTCTCTCCCTGCACTGGTCTCTTCAGCCCACCAATATCAAACAGAAAAATGCTGCACTGTCTCAGCCTGCTGCTGAAGCTCATTATGGATCTTCTCACTGTCTACAACTCCCTGAAAGGAGGTCTCTTCTCCAAGTAACAAGTGACAGGGCAAAAGGAAATGACCTCAAGTTGCTCCAGGGGAGGTTTAGATTGGATATTAGTGAAATTTTCTTAACAGCAAGGGTTGTCAAGCCCTGGCAAAGGCTGCCAAGGGCAGTGGTGGAGTTATCATCCCTAAAGAGATTTAAAAGTCATGTAGCTGTGGCACTTAGGAGCATGGTTACTGGTGGCCTTGGTAGTGCTGGGGGAGTGGTTGGACTCAAAGGTCTTAGAGGGCTTTTCCAACATAAATGATTCCATGATTCTGTGAAGCTGGTGCTCTGCCTTTCTCTCTGCTCCACAATGGGAAGGGGGTATTTGGGGGACCAGTGGACCTAGCAGGGCTCTGCAGCAGACCAGCTATGTGCCATCTCTGCACAGGCTCCCAGTGTCTGCACGTAGGGAAGAGGGAAGCCAAACCTGCACACAGCTGGTTCTGGTCACCTCAATGGATGTTAACTCAGCCACCTTTCTGCCTGACTCACCAAGATACTTCACCTCATGACGAAGCTGGTATCTTTACCAAAAACACACCACATGCTCAGGTCCTTCAGTTGGTATGAGCCTACATGCAGTAACATCACCCCAGGAAAAGCAAATCAAAACCTGTTCTTTTTGTAGCAGATGAACTGAATAGTGCTAATGATGATCTTTTAGTTTCACAGGGAACAAAACAAACACGTATTTTTGTAAACATTGCAAAAATCTTAGTGTAAAATACTTGGGATGAACTGCTGGCAGTATCTTTCAGTGATACAGCTGTTTTCAGATGTTCAACAGCATTTCTGTATGACTGACACTCTATAGATCACTTGCAAAAATGTACCATTTCCTGTGTTTTATTTAATAAATATCTACATAATATCATGTGGAGTCAATTTTAAGAAAAATATTCTGAGTTTGGTCTAAGTTTCCCTCTATTAATTACCACTGAGGTATTTCAAAGAGAGGTCATGTCTTAAATAAATACTGTAGAAGACATTGGAAAATAACCTTTTGAAATCAGTGTATGTGGGAGATTACAGAAACTTTTAACTTCTGATCTTTGTCCTTATCACAGAATCATAGAATGGGTTGGGTTGGAAGGGACCTTCAAGATCATCTCATTCCAAAACCCTACCATAGCCAGGGACACCCTCTACTAGACCAGATTGCTCCAAGCCTTGTCCAAACTGGTCTTGAACACTGCCAGGAATGGGGCAGCAACAGCTTCTCTGAGCAACCTGTGCCAGTGCCTCACCACCCTCACAGCCAAGAATTTCTTCCTAATATCCGATCTAACCCTACCCTCTGACAGTCTGAAGCCACTCCCGCTTGTCCTGTCACTCCAGACCCTTATCCAAGTCCTCCTCTAGCTCTCTTGGAGCCCCTTTAGGCACTGGAAGGGACTCTAAGATCACCCTGGAGCCTTCTCTCCTCCAGGTTGAACAGCCCCGGCTCTCTCAATCTTTTAGCATTTTGATGCACCAATACCTTCTTAAATGTGCAAGTGCAAAGTCTGCTTCTGTACAGGAGGCATGATCAGCTAAAGGCACAGTGCTGGACCAACCAAGTTGTAGGCAGAGCTTAAAAAAGTCTCCCTGAAACCAGACAATGATTCATTTGTAGGGGAGATGCTGGATAGGCCCCCAAGGTTGGGGTTTGATGCGGTTATCTGGCCCTGTAGTTGGCATTGGTGAGGCCACACATTGAGTACTGTGTTCAGTTTTGTGCCTCTCTCTTTAAAAAGGACATTGAGGCATGGGAACAAGTCCAGCAAAGGACAACAAGGCTCAGAAAAGGTCTGGAACACATGTTGTATGAGGAATGACTGAGGGAATAGGGTTTGTTTAGCCTTGAGAAGAAGCAGCTCAGGGATGACCTGACTGCTGTTTACAAGTACCTGTTAGGGGGTTGTAGAGAGGTGGGGGATGGTCTCTTCTGCCATGCCTGCAGTGAGAGGACTAGAGGGAATGGTTATAAGGTGAGACAGGAGAGATTCAGAGTAGATGTTAGGAAAAAATTTTTCACTGTTAGGGTGTTGAGGCACTGGAGTAGGTTGCCCAGAGAGGCGGTGGAAGTGTTTAAGCAGTGTATGGATCTGACACTGGAGGATAGGATTTAGGAGTTACAGCAGAGTGGCATGTTAATGGTTGGACTCGATCATCTTAGAGATCTCCTCCAGCTTTGATGATTCTATGATTCTATGTTCTGTCTAGAATATACTTGGAGCAGGTCCAGAGGAGGTCATAGAAATGCCCTGAGTGCTGTAGCACCTCTGTTATGGAGACACGCTGAGAGAGCTGGTTCAGCCTGCCAGGGAGACCTTATTGCAGCATTTCAGTACTTAAAGGGCTCTTTAAGAAAGATGGGAACAAACTTCTTATCAGGGCCTGTTGTGACAGAACAAGGGGTGACAGTTTTAAACCAAAAAAGGGTCAATTCAGACCATATATAAGGAGAAAATTTTCTAGATGAGCATGGTAAGGCATTGGCACAAGTCTCCCAAAGACATGGTTGTTGCCCCATACCTGGAAACATTCAAGGCCAGGCTGGACAGAGTTCTGAGCAACCTAATCTCAAAGATGTCAGTGGGGTTGGACTAATGACCCTGAAGTGTCCCTTCCAAACCAAACTACCCTATGGCTGTAGAGGCCCAGAAAAATTGACTCTAGGCACAGGGTGGATTGTGGTGGTACATTCCATCACCCCAGGCTGCACTGTGGTCTGAAAAATGCTTGTTAGGCCTCAGCCTTGACAAACTGCACCTGGACTAAGGCCCTCTTGAGCTTATCAGAAACACTGTTCCTAGGAACTAGTGCTGTTTAACACACACCTGCTTTTAACAGTCTGCATTGGACATTTATTTTGCTTGCTGACTAACAACCCAAGTGGCATAATACTTTTGTTATTGAACCTTCAAAGAAAGTTACTGACTCGAATTGTGGCCAGAATGGAAAATTACTATAAATAAAGCCCATTCTCTTGTGACCCTACAAACCATGGTATAAAGTGAGACCCTTTGAGCTCTCAATTCCCAGAAGATAAGGGGCTAGTGTGTATGGCTCAAACATTAATAACCAAATGGCTGTGGATTTTTGGTAATAACAGACAAGCATTGTTGGTAATAACCAAGGACTGTTGGTATTAACAGGCCATGAGAATGAACAAGGTTTGGTGGAGAAGGGAAGCCATGCAGAGATAGGGCAGCACTTTCCTGGAGATAAGAATAACACAATACCATGCGAGTGCAGCAATGAGACCAAGAACAGGACATGGACTGTGTGGGAGGATTAAGACCACCAAAGACCACCAAAGCCCTCCAGCCCATTTTCAGAAAGGCCTGAAATGATGGACTGCACACGATAACTAATTTATGTACAAATTGAGAAACCTGTTTTTGGGGAGGAAAAACCTATCTTCAGAGCAGAGAAACCTATTCGTAAAAAGGTACCCTCCACCCCAGGATGCTGAACATCTCATTGGCTGGACTGTTGCAACTAGATCAATGCTGAAACCAGGATTATCAGCTGGATGGAAGACAAAACCAGGATCAACATCACATCAGCTGGATGGATACTGGAACCAGGACTGCTGATCTCTTTTTCTCCCTCTTTTCCTTTTTCATTTGATCTTTTTCCTTTGCCCTCTTTTTTTTTAATTCATCTCTCGCTTTTCAATTTGTCTCTTGCACTTCACCTTACCTCCTTTATCCAAAACACACTGTTGTGTGCTTATATAGTCAGGGACTGATATACCAATTTCCATCCAAAGTGTGTAATTTAGTAATAAAACTTTCTGATTCTTTGCAGACCCTCTGACTTTTGTTGTTCCTTTTAGCCACAAGGATTTTTGAGTCTTAGGTGCTTCCTTCTCCTTAAGGGTGGAATGGTACAATGATTCTATGATTTATCAAACTGTAATGCAAAAGGATATTTCAAAGCCTGTATTGACATCTCCCCACCCAGGACCATGTGTGTCCCAGTCAGGCAAATGTACAAAGGCTGCTTTCACTCTTATGTCAAAATCTGAACTCGGGTAAGAGAACACACTTTGCAGTCAGTGTAAATCAGCAGATTTCCTCCAACTGATGCTATTCCAGCTTGCTGTTGCAGAGCAACAGGGTCATTTTGGCAGTACCATAAAGAAACTGTAAACCACACAGAACTGAAACACAACAAAAGATGAACGCCATGTCTCAGCCATTAGAAAGATTTTGCATGTCATT